GCAGTGGACCGCGCTTAATTTGAATACAAGAACACCGTTTAAAATGGAGTAGAAAAGTGCGAGGTTTCTAAAAAATAATAAATAGAGCAAAATATATAGGCTACGAGGTTTAATCTGGCCGCAGAGGAACACAACTGGGTTGCCTGATATAAAGAGACGTAATCCCCGAAACAGAGCTTCTCACTTGCGCAATACGGAAATACCTGCTAAATGTGCTACTTATCTTTGTCAACCTGGCAACCATGTGCATGCGTCCACAGTCCACAGTGGATTAACACGCTTGCTTTCTGGAAAACACCGGTTAACTTGCAGTTTAGCGATTCGCTCAGAAAGAGAGAGAGAGAGAGAGAGAGAGCGAGAGAGAGGCTGTGTATGTATGAATTACCTCCGTTTTGCCGCTTTTCTCTATTAACAGCGAAGTTGTGGCTTTAATTGCTTTAGAAACAATGATGTTACCAGCTCCTTGTTGAGAAAGATAATGTAGCTCTTCAGCGATTAAGCTATTTCATTGATAAAATTGCGGGGCAGCGCTAAAAAGTTTGTCTAAATCTGTTTTTATACAGTCTATGGTCTAATCGCGATAAAGAATGTCATTAGTTTAGAACTCTTCTAATTTTTATTTTTTAAACTGTAGAGAGTGTTGACTTCAATGATAACCTACTAGCAATGTTAAGGTGATTTTAATATATTAGAATGAGTACATTACAATATAAATTTATTAGAACCAGTACATTATTATTTATGGGCTTAAAAACAAGATGCAAACAATCAGAATATTGTACCTGCGTGGGAGTGCACAATGTAAACATGAAACATATTCCATTACCTATATTGTACTGTGGTACCGTTATGGAGGCCCTTCATAGCAGTGGACCGCGCTTAATTTGAATACAAGAACACCGTTTAAAATGGAGTAGAAAAGTGCGAGGTTTCTAAAAAATAATAAATAGAGCAAAATATATAGGCTACGAGGTTTAATCTGGCCGCAGAGGAACACAACTGGGTTGCCTGATATAAAGAGACGTAATCCCCGAAACAGAGCTTCTCACTTGCGCAATACGGAAATACCTGCTAAATGTGCTACTTATCTTTGTCAACCTGGCAACCATGTGCATGCGCGCTCTCTCCACAGTGGATTAACACGCTTGCTTTCTGGAAAACACCGGTTAACTTGCAGTTTAGCGATCTCCACTTCGCTCAGAAAAGTGTGATTTATCAAGTGTTCATTTATGAGAGAGAGAGAGAGAGAGAGAGGCTGTGTATGTATGAATTACCACCGTTTTGCCGCGTTTCTCTATTAACAGCGAAGTTGTGGCTTTAATTGCTTTAGAAACAATGATGTTACCAGCTCCTTGTTGAGAAAGATAATGTAGCTCTTCAGCGATTAAGCTATTTCATTGATAAAATTGCGGGGCAGCGCTAAAAAGTTTGTCTAAATCTGTTTTTATACAGTCTATGGTCTAATCGCGATAAAGAATGTCATTAGTTTAGAACTCTTCTAATTTTTATTTTTTAAACTGTAGAGAGTGTTGACTTCAATGATAACCTACTAGCAATGTTAAGGTGATTTTAATATATTAGAATGAGTACATTACAATATAAATTTATTAGAACCAGTACATTATTATTTATGGGCTTAAAAACAAGATGCAAACAATCAGAATATTGTACCTGCGTGGGAGTGCACAATGTAAACATGAAACATATTCCATTACCTATATTGTACTGTGGTACCGTTATGGAGGCCCTTCATAATGCAGAGGTCAAGTGCCTGCTCTGCCAATAGTTACCAATAGCCCTATGCAGTGTTTAATAAACAGCTGTTTTACTAAATTCTGCTGAGGTGAAATTCAGTGCAGTCCTGTATCGTGATACGCATCGTGGCCTCTATATCGTGATATGTATCGTATCGTAACTTTGCTGGTGATACACAGCCCTACTTTGCACATCTAGACTTTGCAATATTTGCCCACTCTTCTTTGCAGAACTGCTCAAGTTCAGTTCAATTTGATGGTGACTGTTTCTGGACTGCAGTCTTCGAGTCATTCCACAGATTTTCAGTGGGGTTTAAGTCTGGGCTCTGACTAGGTCATGTAAGGACATTCACCTTTTTCTCCTTCAACCACTGTGTGCTCAGTTTTGCTGTGTGCTTTGCGTCATAGTCATGTTGGAAGGTAAACCTTCTTCCCATTGACAACTTTCTGGCAGAGGGCAGCAGATTTTCCTCAAGAATGTGATGGTATTTTGCCCCATCCATTTTTCCTTCTATCCTGACAAGTGCTCCAGTCCCTGCTGCAAAGAAACACCCCTATAACAGGATATCACCACCTCCATGCTTTACTGTCGGAATGCTGTTATTTGGATGGTGAGCTGTATTGGATTTCCCCCAGACATATCGTTTGGTGTTGAGGCCAAATAATTAAATTTATTAATTATTAGAACACACTAATAATTGGGGGTTGGGGCCCAATTATTATATTAAATTATTATTATTATTATTATTATTATTATATTAATTCATGATATTAATTTAAACAATTATTTAAACTGCGTGTTTTCTGCTTAAAAATAAGGGTCATTTTTGGCTTTGGACTAAAACAAAAAGCAAACAGACAACAGTTTACAGATGTTTTTCAGTGGCAGCAGAACTATGACTAAACTTTTGGGTGAAACTTGTTTACTTTTTTCATACTATTATTACTTGTGGAAAAACTTGAAACAATTTTAAATAAGTATAAAGAATGGCATTGGTTTTGTACATTTAATTTTTGTTTAACGTTATTAATAAAAATGTTGTTCAATTAGCATGTTTTTGTGTTTTGCTTTGGTACCGAAATTGGTACCGAGAACCGTGGATTTTCACTGGTATTGGTACCGAATACTGAAATGTTGGTACCGTGACAACACTAATAGAAAGATTAAAAATACGGGAGAAATACGGGAAAATATTTAAACGGGATGACAGCGGGATAGAATGGCAAAATACGGGAGAATCCCGGGAAAAACGGGAGGGTTGACAGGTATGTTTTAGTCTCATCTGCCACAGAATCTTCAAGGTGCGTTTTCTATACCCACTGTATGCACAATGCATTGCTTTTATCTATTTAATTTTTTGGGGGGACTGAAATCATGTTTTTTTTTTTGTACTGTCCCTATACAAATAAATGAATTATGGACTGCACACGTGCTGTTGTTACTTTCTGATTCTCTTCTCTAAACAGGGGCAATGTGCAGTGTGCCACACTGTGTGTTCAGAGATATTAACTTGACCTTTGTGTGTAAACAGAATAGTTAGTATATGTGTAACTCTATATTTTAACTAATTGTAAAAGCTGAATAATAGAACAAAGCCTACTTGTTAATCGGTGAAATCATTGATGATTAGTCGAATAATCGTTGTAATAATTGTTAGATTAATCGATTAGCAAAATAATTGTTTGTTGCAGCCCTAAAACGGAATCTACTGTTAGCTTTACCTTTCCTCATTACTCATACTGCTGTGAATCAACCTCAGCACGGAATTAGCATATTTTGCAAAGTGACAGACTGCAAAAATCTAAAAGTCAACATTAAATACTTCCAACCAGTTTTATTACTAACATATTTCCAAATGAAACAAGATATTCAACATGAATAAATGTGGGCTGAACTTGATTTGATACATTAAAAACGGACTAAAAAGTCTTCATGTAGATGAAGAGGTGGGATATGAGTCAGTAAAAAAATCATTTCAATGCAGAAGCAAATCAAAATTTACATTTTAGTCAAATGTGTGGCACTCTAAAAATATGAAAAGTTGAGGGAAACAGCATATATTTAAGGTGTAATAAAAAAACTGTTAAAATGAACAAAAGAGAACAGTGTGTTCTATGATCACAGTCTGGACTGGCCCATTTGAGAGATAACAGCTGTAAAAGACATAAAACAAGTGTCTTTGTTTCTAAAGAACCCTTCACTTCATCCTGACAAGAGCAGCTGAGCACTCAAAGTAATACTTCCTTACAGTTTGCCAATGACATCTTGATCAGTGCATCCACAGCAAACACTTCTAATGCAAAGCGGTTTCAATGACACATGAAGTGAAGTGTCCTGTTTAGGGAAACACTAGTGAGAAGTATGCAATCTGAGTATCTGTCTAGCACTTACACAACTCTAGTAGCATATCACAGATGTGCTATGATGTATGTCAAAAAAACATAATACCCTTTCAGTTAGTGTACTGCCTCTATGTTAACCTACGACTTAAAAGACAAAACCTAATTCTCAGTAGACTGCATTTGAACTACAGACTCAATGCGCATGCTCAGTATCCCAAAGCAGCGTCAACAAAGTCACGTGGTTTAGGACGAGAAGCCACGTGTGACCTTCCTATCTCATGTTCATGTTTCATAATGACACCTCGCAGACAGACAGGTACTACAAACACAGGATACAATCATATTACAATCCACCAACAAAAAAAAAAAGCAAGCAGGTACTGGTGGAATTACATGCTTGGGACTTACGTTAGTTATGACTAGATTGTTCCAGACAGAATTAAACGTTGGAGAGATTACATGACTACAAATAATTCTTAACATTACTAACTGCAATGAATATGAAGTGCAACAGTGAATTCTATATGTAAACAACTAAAATCTGAGAAGGAGCAGAGGGAAACTATATTGTCTGCAAAGTATGTAGACTATAAAATAAAGTCTGGAAATCACACAGGGGAACTAACTCGACATTACCAGCTTGTCGGATCTGTCAAGGGCCTGCTGGTCACGTTAACTCTGCTTCAATTCTTTATAAAACTCTTGATGTTTTGCAACTGCGTTATTTACCTTCACACAATCAACAGGGAACATCAGGCAATGCTCCATGATTCCTGCCACTGCTCCTGCCAACATGTGCGTGCTGGTGGAGGCGCCCTGGGGCAAACCCTCATAGTCCGGTTCCGACATATCATTGGCCTCCTGGGAACCATAGAAATGTCCAACATGAAGCTCCGTTTCTCCTGCTATCCGAGGTGTCAAAGTGCCGACGAGACTCTCGGAAACACCCCAGAACCTGCCGTCGAGCCAGTGTATCTCCGCTCCCGCGGAAGCTCCGGCCACCGCGGCATCGCCGCCCGATGTGTCCGCTGTCATCCGCCGCCTGGGCACAAAACCAGCCGCTTCCATTTGTAACACCCAGTCCTTTAAAATCATGCGTCCCACGCCCGATGTTTACGCGTTCAGCTCGGGCCTCTTCCGCCTGAGCACCGGGGAGAGGACGCGAACCGTACAGCTAGAACCGCGCAGCAGGAGGTGACAGACAGAACAGGCCGCAAGGGGAAACAGGAACGCCCTCTCGCTCGGTCCTGCGCTTTGATTGGAGGAAGCCGTTGTCATTCAAATCAGAACGCGCGCAGTTGTTTTTTAATGGATACGGTGACATAACGCTGCTAGAGAGAGGGAAACCCGACTCATTTTCGCGAGTCGGCTCTTTTGGACAGTTTGTGTCAAAGAATCGTTTTTTTTTTTTTTTTTTTTGGAGTACAACATCTTGGATGCCCTGGGGGTAAGCAGATAAACATCAAATTTTAATTTTTGGGTGAACTATCCCTTTAAGTACTTTTTTTTTAAGTAGTATTAAGTACTTTCGCTAGGCCCTGTTGCACAAGTCGAATGTGTTGTTTGAAAGGACTGGAGAGGATCTCAAGTCATCCGGTCAACGATTCACTGAACCAGGATTTTAAATTTTTTTTAATTATTAAACAATACAAACATTAAAACATTAAGGCAGTAAAATTATCAAAATCATAAATAAAGACAAGATAAAAACAAAAACAGAAAAACAACAGAATATACACACAGATTTGATTAAAATCTTAAGAAGACAAAAAGGACGAATATAAAGATACAGTTTTCATAGCTTTCAAATTAACAGAACTTTGGATAGTTTCCACATACCTATCCAAGTCCAATTTAAATAAGGAGAAGAGAGGTTTAGAGCCAGTAAACTTTTGTTTATGTATGTGAAATTTAGCTAACAGGAAACATAAATTAATTATATAATATTTTCCAGTGTTCTCTTTTGAATCGTCAACCAATCCAAAGAAAGCATCATTAAAACAAAAAGAGAAGTCACTTACAAAAGATTGAATAAACACTAAAAAGTCTGACCAAAATTTTTCTGTGTAGGTGTCAAAGAATCGTTCCAAAACAATTCAGCGGGGGCAAGTTCAAGCTCAATCCGGTGCGCAAAGTTTTGCTACGGTTTCCGGTTTGAACGACATGTTTCCTGGAAACGGTGTGCAACGGTGTGCAACGGGGTTTGAGATACGTTTTCTCTTGTTTGGTGGGTGTGTCAAAAATGTCAGCCCAATCAGCAGCAACATGTATATAAACCACGCGGTATTAAAGAGACAGCTGGCACAATGTAATTAACATCAAAATAAATTCACAAGAGCAAGTATATTGTTTGCACATGTTTATTTACATTAAAGGCAAAATAACTGAAATAATAAGAGCACAAGTATAGATCTGGAACTTCGTGACTTTCCACGTATTCCCAACTTCTGAGCCTGCTCGCCTGAAGTTATGGTTGATTGCTCTTCGGCTGGATATCAACACACCCATTAACATAAACTACAACGTAAACAAGGAAGTTGGACATAGTGTTGTATTAGAGGTAAAAAATTATATAAATACTGTTCGGTTTCTCGCACAAACCGATCGTTTCGTGTCTTAGGACATCAATGTGTCGTCACGAGCCGCAGGGTTTAATTTGGATTTGTCTGTGCATGTTTTTTTTACTCTCATAGATTTTGTTACCATTGCCATGCATTATACGACTGATAGACTGCAACGGCTGGACTTAAAAATCATAATTTGTGTTCTACTGAAGAAACAAAGTCACCTACATCTTGGATGCCCTGGGGGTAAGCAGATAAACATCAAATTTTCATTTTTGGGTGAACTATCCCTTTAAGTAATTTGTGGTTTAGTGCTTACTGGAGACGCGAACCGTTTCAAACAATTCAGTCCGATTTGGTGAACTGGTTCAACCGGTTCACTAAGAAGAACCAGTTAAATTGAACGATTTGTTTGCGAACCGGACATCACTACAGACTGGCTGAATGAAAAGATTCGACTCACATTAGCTGCAGCGAACATCAAAAACACGTGCCTCAGGTTATAAATTAAAAACTGAGGCATATGGATCAAATACACTCTAAAATAGCTAAATAGCACTTAAAGTGGTTAATTGGCTCATAATCATAGGGGAACCACTTTAAGTGCTAGGCCTATATAGCACCTATCTTTAAAAGGTGTTATACAGCGCCTTTGTCAAATGGTGCTATATGAAGAACCTTAGGAGGAACCCCAATGTCCTCCTTAGATTTTAGATACTCCACTCTCTTATGTTTGCTATGAATCAGAATTAACTACAATGGCAGAAGCTGTTTTGAATCACTTTTATGCTTTTCTGAGGTCAAAAAGTCTTGTGTGGGGGCCCTGGAATAGGGGGGCCATGGGGCAAAAAGGTTGAGAACCACGTTATTTTCAGGAAATACACTGTATTGTAATGTCATTTTTAATCTTTTCCTAAAAACTAAACTAAGAGAATAAGAGTTAGAGTACCTTTAAAGAACTATACAGGGGCTTAACGGCTTCTTTGTATGGCAGTGGTGCTATATGCATCCCAAAGAACCACTGAAGAACCAATGTGTGTGTGTGTGTGTGTGTGTGTGTGTGTGTGTGTGTACCTAGTTGAACAGTATTTGCTTTAGGATTGAAGGTCAAATTCTAATATCAACAGAAACCAGTCTAAGATGGTTTGCTTGTCCTAACTGGTTTCTTAGCCTCATCAGGCCATCTGTGTGATGGTTTGAACTGGCATAGTTTTGCCAGGCTCGGAGACCAGCTTAAATCAACTCATGCCAGCAAGCCAGCTCTCTGGAAGAAAATTAACTAGGCATCTCATCAATGAGCTAATTATACTTTAAAGCAGGACCATTTTCAGCTAATTTCATTTTGGCCGTGAGTCCACGGTGTAGAATTTCTGCCGACAAAGGAAATGAAGTGTTAATTTTCGCTTACAAGAACAAAATTCCCTGGCCTTGATCAAATTAACGTTGACTGTGTGTTGTCCAGATGTGTTCCTTCAAGGAAAGTCAAGCTGGCGTGCCTGTAGAGTATCTCATTCTTGACCATAATTCCCTGACGACATGCTCTGAGAGGTGTCGGGAAACACTAGATTGTCTAATAGCAGGCTACTTTATTTCTTTTCCTTCTGAGAACCTGAATCAATAGGAGTTGTTTTTCACAGCATAAGCAAAACAAATAAAAGTTAAAGGATATTGTATACTGCGTCACAGCAATTACACATCATATAGACTCAAATTGAGTTGCTAATTCATTTAAGGTCTAAGCTTTGGTTATCTTCGGTTACTTGAGTGAAATGCACAAAGCCACAAACCTCCTGTTTTTAAAATGTGTCTCTAAAAGCTGTCTGCAGTCCCATCAGCATGACGTTGATACATTGTCTCTTATCATATTTAGCATAGAGAGAGAACCACTTATGATCTCTTCAGACGGGCTCTTCAGTCAAGATGATTTCTCTTAGCTGAAGAGAATATTTCTTAAGTATGGCAAGGCTTTGAAGCAACTTTATTTGAGTGTCTTATAATGGAAAGAGACAATATTCAAATGGCTTTGAATTAACTATGAAGTTCCCATCTTAAACAGTCAATGATTCATGTTAACAGGATATTAATTAATGTTAAAGGCTGATACAGAAATAGTAAATCTCAGCTAATACCGTACAATATGTCTCTGTTGTTTGTTAATACCTTAGCTAACATGAACCTAACAATGAGCAATATTTATGCAGATTTATTAATCTTTGGCAATCTATATAAATATGATTGTTTGTGTTTGGTCACTGTGCAACTGTATTGGTTGGTAAATAAATATTGTATGACTAAATGCTGTAGATGTATTGTACATCGTTAGTCAACTAATGTTACTAATGACCAATTAAATTGTAAAGTGTTAAAAAAATAATGCATGAACCATAAAAAAATGGTTCAGATGATTATGCCTACCTGTAATAATAAATTCTAATTCTAATCTAAATTCTTATCTATTATTTTATATTTGTGGCTGATATGGGAATGAGCTCTTCCTCTGATAACCCAAAGTCTTTGCTGCCACCTACTGGAATAAAAGGTGGCTTTGTTATCATCTCGGCTCTTTCTTTCTCTTTCTTTCTTTCTTTCTTTCTTTCTTTCTTTCTTTCTTTCTTTCTTATTTATTTATTTATGAACGAATGAATTACATGCAAAAATAATTTTTCAAATGAGGAATTATGTTCAGATTGTTAATTTTTCCATGTTAATTACATTATTTTACTTAAAACATCATTTAACTTTTAAATTTTAACATAATATTAAATTAAATTAAAAATGAAATATTATATTAAATATTTTGAATTAATGAAAATGAATGCTACCACATTTTGAATGACTAGAGATATTTATTTCTTCTTTTACAAATTCATACCCTGATAATCAAAATCATTGCTACAATTAATTTTAATTCGAGTTATAGCATGTGGTATATGGCAAGTGAATTGTTGTGAATTGAATGTGAATTGTCATATGTCATTTCACTTCTCATTTTTGTCTCATAAACAGGATTTCTCAGGACAAGTCAGAGAACACAAGACTTCTCACACTTCTCACTGTAGGATACGGAAATGACAAGGATACAGTAAACAGCTTGTACTACTAATTTTGTCCAGTTTTATTTTGTTGATCACAAACTCTGAGATCACAGGCATGCCACAAACAGGTGATATCTGTTCATCTTATACATAATCAGTTTTCTCACTCTTCTCAGTACAGCAGCTTTAAGAAGCAGCTCAATACAATGGAGCTACTGTGGCTCTGATGTGAGATCATTTGGCTCTGTCTTGTGATTTTTCCTTGTGCCTTACCCTTGAGTAGCAGGGTATTAATAGACAAAGCTCTTTTAAATAACTTGTTTTGTCTTGATATGTGCTTTCATTGCACACTTTTAAAGAAGTGGAACACTCTCACTCTGTTAAGTATTTATACTGAGGCCTACCTTTGGCTATCCTACTATCAAGTACAGATTATAACACAAGGTTAATGTCAAGACTGTGTTTCTTTTAACAACACTTTGACCATAAATCTTTCTTTGGACCTTGGTCTAACACTCTCAAAATGCAAGATTTTTTATGCCACTTTGAATAGTTATCTAGACACGCAAAACAACAGACAGTTAACCATGTATAAAGATTTACCAAGAGATTGTTGATATTAGTGTTTCTAACTGAGCTTTCTTCA